CAAGTGCAGGAGCAACTGTGGGTTACTGGTAGGAAAAGGTGATGACCTTTTTTGTTAATGCTTCATGGTTGGTCGTGCATAAAGAGGGGCGAGGATGCATCAGATATTAGAATATATTTTGTTTTCAGCAGCAAAATCTTCAAAACTTGAATTAATTTAGAAAATTCTTTCATTCATAGGCTTCCTTTATATACAATTTTCAAATTAATGTTCAATCCCTTGTTATTCCTGTTGTTTTAGACTTTGCTATAGTTTTATTAGAAGTGTAAGTAAGTAATTTTTTTTTAAGATACTCCATTTTTTAACTCTAGTCCCTATAAAAGTAACAAAACGGGCGCTGACTCGCAGTGTTTCTAACATGCAACGCAGGCTACAGGTTCCCACACGGGTTGCCACGCATACATGCATGCGAATGTATGCACAGCGAACTATCGCTTGCACTCCAAGTCTACTATACATGTATAATAGTGTATGTGTGCGTGTTCGAGTATAAAGAATGGAACATTTTGCAAAACGCTTTTCGCAATTTTCATAAAAAATTATATGCGCTCTGTCTGTCTTGTGGCTGGTTGTTTCAACCGACGGCTGACTGAGTCGTTGGTTAGTTGTTTGTCTTGTGTGTTTGTATGCTGGTCTTTACGCTTCGATAGTTTGCCTCTATTATCCTTTTATCCTTTATTTTTGTCCTTATTTGTGCGTATTCTGCACTTCGTGGTTAGCTTAAGATGAGTTGGAAATTCCGTTATTTTTCCATTATTCTTTCTTATTCTGTGGTACACATACACTGTACATATGTTCGCTGTCGTTAGAATGTGTGCTCACTACACTCGTGATATTTCGTAAACGTTTTAGCTGCTTATTGCTTTCTTTTACGGTACAATATTTCATATGACAACGCTGGAAGTTCTAATTATAATAATAGTAACTGTACTGTAATGCTGGCTAAAGTTGCGAAACAAATATAAAATAGAAAAAGTCCGAAGAATATTTATATTACTCCTAAACTCCTTCACAATAATGTTAAATATGTGGCAGCATATTTTTCTTTTAATTTTTAAATAATGTGTAGGCTTATACCTGTTCTCGGTGCAGTATATTTTTAGATCTCAGTACTCACGGTTTCACCCCTGCTAAAGGGACGTTTAATGAATTCATTCATGCTCGCGGGTATTCCGCTGGGAGTTTCGTTAATGTGTGCTTTCACCACTTTTGTGGAAGAAGTGGGGGGGTATGCACCTTTTATGAGTTAATGCGAAAAACGTGTTCAAATATCTTTTGCAATGTTTTCTGCAGGAGCTTTGATACTGCAACGGGATGTTCCAGTTAAATTATTTCTATTGCCCCCTTAGTATGAAATTATTTAATAGAATATGTAATGTTATGTAAGGAGATTTAATGGAATATGCTTTAATAGTATCTTCGTGCTGATCCGTCCGTTCGTATGCCAACGTAATTGTTAACTTGAAAGTGCTAACTCAAATTTGATGGCGCTTAGGACACATCCTCGGTTTGCATAATATATGGCCACCTCTTGGGAGTGAATTATCATGACTGATCAGCTAACCCGATGGTTTTAACCGTTTTTAGAGGAAGTATATCCAAGTGCTGTTTCCGTTCGCAACTATTTTCATAAAAACTTTTGGCAGATATATCGGCAAACTTCACATCTTACGATTATGCTCTTACTGTTAGAGATGTAAAATGTTGCACACAATTAAAAGTATTTGTGGAAATATGGCATTTCATTAGCACACTCACACATACACAAACAGGTGGCAAATACAATACAGTTTTGTATATTCGAGGCAGAGATTGGTTAACTTTGTTTGAAAATTAGAAAGTTTCTGATATGCTTCACGGAGAGCGCCGAGCCATAGTTTTGAGGCGAACTTTACTAACTCGACTATGCAAAAAAGGTTGGTGTGTTTTGACTTACTAGCGAAGTTTCGCAACTTAAGAATGTTATTGAAAGCAATGGCGTGTGTGAGTGTGTGGCGGTAAAGCAATCAACTTGAAATTCTACAAATTTGCCATGAAACGCTTCATACCTGCAAGTTGCTCGGCATTTAACTTAGGTGATTTTATGCTACATTTCTAACGGTAAACGAAAGTACGCGCACTTTCATAGTTTATGATGTAAATTTAAATGGAAAAGGATTCAGGGCAAGCAGTCAAGTGGCAGATTTTTATTTTACTTGCATTTTTGAAAAGAGCCCGAAGTTATTCCGCAAAAACTTTAATTAATTTCACAAATAATGTAAAATGCTTCATTTTACCATATTGGAGTAATGAAATCATTGAAGCTGGAAAGCATTTAGTCTTACATATTCTGAGTTGATTTTTCTCTCTAAAGAAAATTAGGTAAAGAGTTAAGCAATAGCTTTCTGTGGCGGCTCGCTTGAGTGCTATTGCTTCTCATATATTTACGACTGAGTTCTTTCTAAAGCCTATGAAATATGCTTTACAGAACTTATATAATTGTAAATGTGTTTGTTGTTGCAATAATTTTCAAGCCCTAGTCGCTGTGGAGAATGTTGAAGAAATTTGATTGATTTTTAGTGCCTAAGCTTAATAGGTTAGTAAGTTTGGTATATATATACAAAGGCATTTACGTATTAAATTTTGTACAAGCTTACTCTGTTATTCAGCAATGAGTTGCAAGAGTTCTTCCCGCCTTAGACCGATTTTTTGCCCGTCTCATAAATTTTAGGGAATTTTCTATTTTAGTAATTTTAACACTCTCTCTTACATACGCGTATTAACTTTAGAAAAAGAAATCGTAAAAAAAAACATTATTTCATAAATGATTGGAAACATATCATACCCTAATATGGAAGATGCCCCTTCCCTCAGAAAATTTTTGTGACCACACTGTTTGCTTTTTTTTAGCAGACAGGTATATACTTATGTACATTCCACTCTTATAGCTCTTTAAATTTTAGATATGATAGCTCGCTTACATATGTACAAATATAAATTCTCCTTTTTCCTACTTCCACTTGTTACATAATCAATATCCAATCATTTGCATACTCAGATAAATTCTCAAATCTACTCATAAGTGTGTGGGTATCAATCCACTTAAACGCGCGTGTGACCGCTTTATTTGCTTTTGCGGAATTCCGACATTTTTGCTTTTAAAATTTCAGTGACGTGTTGAAATAAGCAATGAAAGCAATTCCGAAATTCATCGTTCGCTACCGAATTCAACTCACCCGCTGGAAGAAAGAAGGGAACGAGTATTTGTCGAAAGTATTTGACGAATTGTAAATGTATCCAGTAACGTGATATGAGCACTCATACATTATTGCTAAGCTGTAGAATTATGGCAGTGAGAATATCATTAAGAAAACGAACACACAAGTATATGTTTGCAGTTCCAAAAGTATGCCCTTTTCATCTGTCAAAGCACATTTACATTCTTATGCAAGTATTTATATATGAAAGAAGTTACGACAAAAAATATAAATATCTGAAATGTCTTCAAGCATATGCAAAGTGTCTGTTAGAGCATGCTTTTAGCCGTTGCACCCCCAGGAAACGAAAACAAGTTGTCCTGTTCATTTACGGTTTTCAGATATTAATAGTCCATACCATTAGTAACGTGCTTCTAAAAAAAAGGCCTGTCACCGCAAATTCGTATGCAGCCCGAATATGAATATTTAAAGTAGTGCTTAAACTTCGAGCTATAGGAATGGGATCATAGGAGCTATACGATTTGTTGGCTACTTGTGCCCGACGCCTTCCGAAATTTCAGTTTGCAAAAATTGTTTTTGAAAAAAAAAATTAAATAATGAGCGCACAGTTTTTTTTTAATATGTAGTCATTTCAATTGTGTTAACATCAAAATTTATAAGTGTGTGTTTTCTTCACGAAGCATTGAGAAGGTAATTAAAATTAAAACTATTATTTTTAAAAAGCAGCTTCCAAAATATAACAAATTCCATAATTCCATACTAACAAGAGCAAATATATAATACTAAATTCAATTTAACGAAAATATTAGCTTTGCGATGGATAGTACCTTACATAGTTTTTACGACAGCAGGCATATTCATTTATAGTGTACTAAAAAATTGTAGCTAGAACTAAAGGTGATAAGTTGTTGCTTTGTAATTATTTCTAAGAAAAATAAAATATGATTGATGGTATTACTGCTTCATATAGTACACCCGGCGGACTACAAGTTTATCGCAAAAGGGGATATTGTATCAAAAACTTACCTGATACTATTTTACGATTTAAGCAAAACTTTCTAACTACATAATAGATACACCTATTTTCCGTTATACTATGGTTTTTTGTCCAAATTTTGATTTTTTTTTTAATTTTCAACATGTGTCATTCCGCGGTATATTATCCCCAATTTTAAGGTATTTTTTTTTGACGTGGGGGGCGCCGTTTCGAAGATTTTATTTTAGAATAAAATAAGCAATTTATTCGAATTGCATTAGAGAAGTCGGGACGGTCGACTAAAGTGATATATTAAGGGAATGTGACAATAAAGCAAGCAACAACTCGACAGCTCAGACAAGAAGGTCTTCAAGTGAATTGATAGCAGGTACTCAATTCGGTATGAAATTTATCCAGATAAGCATTATTTCTCTCTAACATGATTTTTACTATGCTTTGAATACAAAAATCTCAGAGTTTACCAAATCCAAATGAAGATCAAAGTGATAGTTGTCGCTGCCAAATTACTAGTTGTTGTCATAATACTGTTGCTTCAAGCAATAAATATCGCAAAATGTTTGAAAACTACTTTCGCTACTCGCACATTTTGGCGCTCGAACAGCGATAAATCTTGAAGAAATTTGATAGTAAATCAACAAGCACACATACACATATGTATACTTGTGCATTCTTGTGTGTTATTATTGTCAAAGCGATGCCGTATTAGTTTCTATATTCCTTTCTTCTTTTTTTCACTCATTCGGATTTTGATTTTGTCGCTCGATCTTCTGAGTTCTTATTATTTATACACTTTTTGTGATGCTCACCTATTTCATATTTCTTGACTTGCCCGTAAAAATCACTTAAATTTCACTGAAAATGTGTGACCAAACAAGACTGGCGTTAATTAATATTCGGAATACTCAAATGTGCAGATCAAAAATAATTGTTTGTTCAATTATTAATATTTGCTTAAAGAATTCAGTAAAAATTCTGTAACTATTGGTAATGAAATTGAAATTCACAGTTGAAAACGCGCACGCCGCCGTTTCAGCGCAAAGCACGTCCAAATTCGCGTAGTCCATTCGGCAAACTGAATTGATGATAAATTCAGAATGTTTATCAGACGAAGCTGCAGCCGTGAAGTCGTGGCTACGGCGACGACGCAGAGCGACGAGCTGAAGATGAGCGCTCAGCGGCAGCCTCAGTGACGATGGCTGAGGCAGCGGCAGCGCATAGATGGCAGCAACAGCAAGTGTCATTGAAAGCAGCCGAACTGCTGATGCTGACACCTCCGATCCTTGTAGTGGCGACCACCAGCATGACGGGGCTGCCAAAAGCACAAAGTGACCGCAGCGAAGACAAGTGTGAAAGCTAGTGGCGATAAGAAATTCGCTAGAGCTGTGTGACATGTCACTCGCAGCGCTGCCTGCAACGACTGCGTCGCTGACAATGAATATTCTAATCAATTCAATGCGCACAGCAGCAGCAGTGCGGTTGTGTGTTTCATTAACTTTCTATGAGTTGCTGCTACATCCGGTGGCGTATACGTAACTTCGAAATACAAATGTGTACTCGGCTGGCGTTCGTTGGTCGCTGCTCGGTTCTCACCATTCGGTACTGTTAGGCGAATGCTGTAGACTTTGACGCAAACAGTTGGCCGTCGTGGCGCTCTTTGTTCGCTTGCTAAGAGAGTGAAAGCGTAGCAAGTGCTCTTTGTGCGTTTTTGAACTTTTCAAACCGCCCAGTATTGCTAAGGTTTGGCGGTTTCACCCTTAATTTGATACATATTGTGCTGCAATTTATCTTGGTGGCTAGATACTTTCGGAGTGCCGTCATAATTATAACTTGAATTTGAAAGTTCTAAATTAAATCTTAAACTTAAATATATTAAATTATTAATCTACTTCTTTCTAATTCTTTTATAAGCGGTTAATATTTTCAAAATATACATTTTAATGCAAATTCAAAATCGGCTTTTTCAGTACACTTAGAGATACAAATATTTCTATGCGCATGAGTGTAGTCTTAGGATGCATATATATATATATACATATATATACATATATATATATGTATACATATATATATATATACCTACTTATATTATATGGAGTTAAGTTTGCTTTTTGCTTTCGTTTTGACAATTTGCGTTTTGTATTATATGAAAATGAGTAACTGAGGTTAGAATTGGCCTCGTAATATTCTCGATTTTATGAACCAGATCTTGCTATTTTTATATAACTCTATTAAAATAAAAAAATCAAATGAGGCAGATTATTGTGCCAAAGCAAGCTGTTTATACACGTTTCCAAATTTGGCTCTAATCAAGCGGTTGGTTTTTGAGACATGAAATTGCATTTCAATGCGGGCGGTAATGGTTCATTTTAATAATTTGAAAATTCAGTGGTATGATTATAAAGGCTTTTTGGAAACGATTTACAGTTAGATTGCAAGTGCTATGCAACCTTTTATGCGAAATTGATTAATAACCCAAATGAGTGCCACAAGCAACAATCGAAAGCAAGGGCAACCAGTTGAAGCTGTGCCCAGCTATGCGTAATTAGACCGGCAATGCCATTAATAAGGCGAATTGGCAGGAATACTCAAAGTGCGCTGTGCCACTTTTAATCATCGCAAGTGATTTGTTTCTCCAGCAAGGCAAAGGGAATGGAAATATTGAAAAATTGAAAAATTAAATGTTGCATGCCATACTTGGTCGTGCGGCAATGCCTTTGTAGTCGAAATAATAATAATGAGAATTGCAGTGGCCTGGACAAGAGTGCTCGCCGCTGACTCTGCCACATTACGTTAAGGGTTCCGTTTGATGGCCAGTAAATGGCTTAAAAGCCAAATTTAATGTTTAAAAGAATCGAAAACGTCAGGTGCTCTCGGCATTAACGGTAAGTTGATGACTTATTTGCGAGTTTAAAAAGGGCTGATTAGCTGCCAACTCTTCAGGGTATTTGCTTTTGCTGGAAAGCACAATCAATCAACTGAACATTCAAAAGGGTTCAGTAGTTCTGACATTCTTTCTGCTGCTCTTCAATAATTATTGACCCGAAGCAGTTGCCGAGTGGCCAGTGTTTAGCGCGCAAAAAGCCAACCGCCACAGCAAGCCTAACCCCTCAGCCCTTTCCTGTTATTAAATTCTTCAATTAACGCCTCATACCTCCCTGTAATTGATTTTTAATTTTAATAATTAAACATAAACAAGCATGTGATCGGGTGTCTACAGGCGTACAAAAAAATCGCATGTGTTTGTTGTAGAAATTTAAGTGGTCGCTAAATGTTTTATTTGTCTTTCGCCAAATTAACTGCTGCAACTAATTAAATTCGCGCAACGTGGTGCTGCAAAAACACTTCAACGCAACTAAAAACGCGTGTTTGCACATTTTCCTTATTAATTAATTATAAATAAGTTCTGTTTGAGGCAATTAGGCCTTCTAGTGGCATATAAAGACCAACAGCTGTTAGCTGTTAGCCAGCTCTCCCGCAAAAGCCAAAAAGATGTGTGTGCAAAGGGAGAACCATCGTCATGAAAAACGCATTAGCAGCAAGTCTGTTTGAAGGAGCGGTCGAAATCGGAAAATAATAAATTTAATATGAACCAAATCGTTTTTAATTGTTGCTTATTATTCCTCGATGATATTTGACCTTGCTTCTTATGTCAGATTATATAAGTATTTATCGTAATGGTAGGATGCTAGCCATCTTGAATAAAGCTATTTCTTGTTGAATAGCTTTATGTTCAATGTTTGTCTACAGCACATTATGTTTGGAATAAAAGTACATAGTTCGATTAAATCAAAATCTTTTTTTGTTTTTTCTTTCTATTAAGAAATTATTGACTAAAAATTTGATTTTTCTGTTCAAATGTCTATAATTTCTGAAGGAATCAGTATTTTAAAATTTCCCTTCGTATTTTTATAGGTATTCCCATGTAGATTAACGAAGTTTTTTCTTTTTATATTGAGCCAGAACGATAAATGTGAATGCAACGATCAAAGAGACATCGCACGATTTATTTATTAAAGTCAACAAAATTAACTGAGAAAAATAAATTCCCATCAGCTTGAGATCCAAACTGGATAAGCGATTCATTAGTTTTGTGAATAAATGATTATATAATGAAAAAAATTAATGAATCTGCACATGATTTTATGCCCGCTACATTTTTATTTTGTATTTGTAGTGGAAGCTTTCACAGACAATGACGTGCTCGCACAGTATCGATGCTCAAATGCTTAAAGCTTTCACAATTTCTCCTAATATGTAAGTACATCATATATTTATATTCAGAGGATGTCACTTCATAAGTTTCATAGGCGCAATATTAACATAATAAATATAATAAATACAACGCGTGCAAAAAGCAAAAGCAATTCGCATTACATGGCTAAGCGAGATGCTTGCCAGCAGAGATTTTTTGCTAGAATACTACTACATAGATCTTATAGCAGACAGCCCATAACATTCACAACCACCATTCCAGCATCTATGTGGCCGGAATGTGCAGTTGGAAGGTTGTAGTTGTTGGACGACGGTGCCTGGAATTGCAGCAAGCAGTCTCAGTTACTCAAGCGTGTCGCTATAATCTAGCATCTCTGGGCGTCCTGCCACCAACACGTGCGAGGATGTGCCAGGCATGTATGTAATTCTGCCGTCGAGCGTCTGTGTGCAGCAGTGCGTATGCCACGCAAATGAGTTTGTATGCTTTTGTGTTCGGGTTGTGCGAAGCTACTTGCCACTCATTTGTTCCTTAAATCCTTTCAACTACGACCACACTTACAGGCTATGCCACATATTTTCACATCTCCACGCAGTGCCTCTCGGCCTTCAGCAGATTCCTCCGCTTGCCCGCCTTGTGGTTGGGCTGCTGGTGGCACTGCCTTGCGGTTGCCACAGCGCAAATGTCATGTTAAATGTTGCATGTGCGATTATCAAATTAAAATGCAAAGCATTAATGCAATTATGGGTATTCCATTTTCTCCTGCGCACTTTATTTATATTCTGAGGTTTTCCTCCACAAAAGGTACTTAATGTTTAGTATTTACATTGTAAATAATAATGCAATAATGCTCTTTAGCGCAGCTTTTCACTTTACGAAAGGGCGGTGCAGAGGGTAGTAATTTTTTTACCTTCGCTTTCGCTTTCGTTTTTCAATTAAATTTTTTGCTTTTACGCTTTGGCTGGTGTTGTGCGCAACAAATTATCGCATTATCCTGCGCTATGTTTTATTATTCGCGCGCTTTCTTTCCTCTCTTTGGTAAATTGTGAATATTGCTCATACGCCACGCTGTGCCGCCTGAAGTGGCTAAGTGCATTTTAATTTCAGTCATAGTGGTTAGCAGATAAGCTGCGGAAAAGGTTGGCGGATAAGTCAGATCTGGAAAAAATAAGCAGTATCGCGATGCGGAACTGTTGAAAATACTTGTTTTTGTGGGGCAATTATTGTACCAGAGGAAGTTAAGTGCTTTTGTTTGTTACATATGCTCAATTTATAGATTAATTTAATTTCGATTTAAAACCTCAATCAAAATAAATTGTTTGTTGACAGGACTTATACAAGTAAATACTTCTAACACTTGTGTGATGCTTCTAAAGTATATTTAAATATAGGTATATACTCGAAAACCATACTTATATATATTTGTATAGCAAATGTGGAGGGTGCTCAATTTTATTACCTATTTTGATCACTACATATCCGATTAAATAGTCCAGATAGTTTGGTAAATTGCTTGGAAAACTCAAAACGAATTACCTGTACACCGGCACTTGAGATTCATCGTGATTGTTTTTATTATTTATGATCACTAAATAAGCCGGCCGATTGAGTAATCAAAGGTGGGTGACTATGCAAATAAACGGTTTTGCGCGCATTTACCGCTAATGCTGATACTCTGTATATTTATATTGCGTGGGCCGCTACACTTTCATGCGAGTAGACTAGAACAGAGACACAGTGTGTGAATTTGATTCCCAATCGGAAGATTGCCCATCTATCGAATATACAATGCCACACGCGCACTTACGCCTATAAGCTAATTTAAAAAAGTTTCAGCGCCGCGAGTCGCTTT